TATAAAAAACATTTTTAGATATCGTTTAAGTTCTAAGCTGCTTGGAGATGGAAGGAGGCTTTTAAAGCCTCTGTATTGCTGGAAAGACTATAAATCCTCCAATAGTCTTTCACATTATACTGAATGATTTAAGAGGCCAGCTGGTTAATTAACCTGTACATAGTGTGTCCACATGCAGCAGTTCACTAATCAGATATAATAACACGTCACCACTGAGTCTATCAGTGTCCAATTTCATGTAATAATGCACTGCTAAATTCACTGTGATTGCCATTGCTTTGAATTATTATCTTCCATGTCCAGGCAAAGAGCTGTTTCTAAAACTCCAGCTTTAGCATATCGTACTATTAATGTGCTATGCATTTCAATAGAAGGTGCAACATTTGCCACAATAACACAGGTGTAAAAGGAAAAAAGACTTTGACATTGTTTCACAATGGTCTACAACTCTGCAGGTTTATAAATAAAGAATGAGGAAAGCTCAGACACTTGTCCTTAGGTAGAGTATGCAAATTTAAAAAAAGTTAAGAAATAAAACCAAATATCAATACAGATACGTATTCTTGCACATTTAATTCAATGCAAGGCATATTAGGACATTACATGTGACTGAACGTAATTAGTTCCTCTTAGGCCCCGTTCACACTGAGCGGTTTATCGCGCGTTATCGCTCTATGTAGCTTGTCCAATGCATTCCAATGGAGCTGTTAGCATCTCACAACTCAATGTCACCTGTAGCTAGTCGCTGAAGCTTGTCGCTTGTACATGACCCTTTTTTCGGCGCATGTCTCGCGATTCGGCCCCAATTGACTCAATGGTGTCGCGCAAAATCGAGCAATACAGGTGATATTGCGCGACTTGGTTGCGCGATAAAAGGGTCACTTTTGCACTGCAAAATGTAAGGAAAGAATGATGTCACATCAAGATCGCTGTTGATTGGTTACAGCCCAATGTAGCAGCAACGAAGTCCCGCCCAAAAAAAGTGCTGTGTAGCACGATAAAATGTGCATTGTCGCTCAATATCGCACAATGTAGCAGCTCAGCACGAAATCGCGCAGAAAAACGTGCAATACCCATGTCGCTCAGTGTGAATGGGGTCTAAAAGTGGCACTCTGAAAGTAATATAAAAGCCATTTAGTGATTAGAATGCTGTGCGCCCTTTTTATGTAAATATGTTTAAAATGCCAGAAAATTTATACTGAAACTCGGCTCTCATAGATCATGCCAGCTACTGAATCCAAAAACTTGATTGATTGATGGAGTAGGGGTATAGATCTGTCTCTAATTTATTTAAGAGACACCTGAGCTTGGAGCTGTAACACTCGAAGACAAACTTGCTGTCAACCTGCTGATTAATGCACCCTTAAGTTTTGGGTTGGGACACCATTCTGACTGCAGAAAAATGATGACACCAAAAGATGTCATGTAAAACTAGGATTTTTCTATCACTATTTCTATATAATTTATTCACCTGTGAATACTTGAAATTTTACTTTAAAGAGTCAGTTCATCTAAAAGTTACATTTTGCTAACTAGCGGTGCTTGGTAGGCTGAGTTAGTCTATGGCTTCTTATGTATCTTGGGTACGTAAAGAATAAGTGCACTTTCCGGCAAAGTGAACATATTCTTTTTAACCCCTTCTGCTGGCTTACCCAACAGGTCTCATTCTCCCCCTCCACAGATGCATTCTTACCAACACCAGCGGCCTTCTGTGTTTGTTGACACCCCATGCCCCATGTTCTCTCTCTCCATGTTCTCTGACTGCTCAGTAGGGTCCCATAGAAGTCTATGGGGCTCCTTGCCTGGTGACAACTCTAAAATTTTGGATTCTCCCTCACTTTCTGTCTCAGTGACAGTGGACACCAGTAGAGATGACCCTGGGCTTGGTTTAAACCCAGTTTGCCCAAACTCACTGAAAACTGGACACCAGTAGAGATGAGCCTAGGCTTGGTTCGAACCCAGTTCCCCTGAGTTTGCCCAAGCCTGTTTAAAACTGTGACCGTCACTCCCCCCTTCCTGGCCTATTCAGGGGCAGCAGTAGTGGTGATAGCCTTCCTGTACCTTTGTGGTGTATAGCTGCAGGGCAGGGAATGCGCCTATCAGAAACTAATCGGGGTCGGAAGGGGGTGTGGTAGTCACTGTATTGAGCGGGCTTGCACAAACTCAGGGGTACTGGGATTGCACCAAGTCCAGACTCATCTCTAGTCACCAGGACAAATAGAGGGCTGAATCTGCCTATCGGGGACTGTATAGCTGCGGGACAGGGAATGTGCCTCTCGGCAACTAATTGGGGTGGAGTGGGGGTGTGTGTATGGTAGTCACAGTATTGAGCGGGCTTGCACGAACTCAGGGGTACTGGGATTGCACCAAATCCAGGCTCATCTCTAGTCACCAGGACAAATAGAGGGCTAAATCTTCCTATCGGGGACACAGACAATAAAAGCATGACAGAGATTCTAGCCGTTCTCTATTCTATCCAAAACTAAAAAGAACACCTTTACATACACGTTAAGCATTATCTAAAAACTAACATTTCATAAATACTGATAGAGGGTCCAACCTTTCCCTATTCTATCCAAAACTAAAGAAAAAAACACCTTTACATACACTTTCAGCATTACCTGAAAAGGAACCTTTCAGCATTGGATGAACCCATCCTTTAACATCTAAATTGTCTTTTTTTTATGTGGCAGCTGACAGTAGTATTTGGTAATTCCTGTCTCCCAGCCAATCTGTAATAGTAAATAAGATATCTCTCTCACCAGTGCACTTGTGTGATTGGCACTATGTAATTGCTGTGTGAAGGGTCTAGGGGTTAATGGGGTTTGGGATGTGAAGC